CTTTCTTAAAATAAAAACCCCAAGGTGTATCTGGTGGTATCTTTTAAAAATAATAAAAAAGGAACAAAGTTTGTGATAATAGACAGCAGCTGCTGTTGCAGTGTTTCTTGGCTTTGCCGGTGTGCCACCTCAAAGCACACCATTAAGGTCTGAGCACTTCCCACTTCACTGAAATTCAGAAGTTTTTGTAAATGCTTCAATTCAATAGTTAACAGAGATTCTTTAACTTGCAGCTGACTTGGAAAATTTGACTAGCGCAGAGCGCATAACAGTTCTCCAAGAAAAATTGCAGGAAATCAGGAAGCATTATCTGTCCTTGAAATCTGAGGTGGCTTCCATTGACCGAAGAAGAAAGCGCTTAAAGAAAAAAGAGCGGGAAAGTAAGTGCTGGGAACTAAATTCCACTTTTAGAGGGCTAAATTACATGTCAAGTTATTAAGGTGTCAACAAGAGTTGGATAATTTTTAGGGAGATGTGTGCCATTAGGAGTGTGGTTTTGTTTGGCTTTTTTTAAAAAGTGTAGAATTATTTTATGATCTTTAGAAGGTATGGTTCAGATATCCAGTGACTGTGGAAGTGAAAAAAGCATTAAAAAGGCATGCAATCTATTTAATTATGTTTAGACAGAACTACTTAATAAATAAAAACAAAAAAATAAAACTTTTCTAAGCAGTGAACAAAGTATCTAAGGTTATTAGTAACTTACAACTTTTCTTCGAGTTACACAAAAAGTTACTATAACATTTCTTGTGTGTCTAGTTAGTGCCTTGCCTTTAGGATAAGTGATTTATTTTGAGTTTAAGGAGACTATCAGTTAAATCTCTCATTTCCCCGAAGTTGCTTTACCTATTGCTGTAGGGAATGTTCTAGTGTGCCTGCTTCCAGTAGCATTAAAAGGATTATTTTTTCCATGTCTTGTTTATATGTACGTAAACAAGTGCACTGAGTATAAGAGGAAAGACTGAAATGCCACATGTAGTAAGATTTTATGGCTGCAACCATCACATGGGAACTGCAGTTGCTTCTTGGTTGCCAGTGTAGGGTGTTTATGCAGATTCAGCGCTGGGATGCAGCCCTACTTGTGCAGATTCTCACGGGAAAGAAAGGGAGCAGTTGACTCTGCTTGTGGGTCAGGAATGAGCTCTGGTGTCCACTGGCTGGGCCCTTGATCTGGGTGACTAGTGAACCAGGGCTGCATGGGCAATGCCATGCCATCTTGTACACAGCCAAAGCTGCTTCTTGAAGTGTTTCCCACAAAAACTAGGGAATTGAGGCTTTTTTGTTTTTAATTACTAGGCATTAGTTGCTGGGGTCAGTATGTACCAGTGCTTCTTGTTGAATGGGAAAACATTTTTATTGCTTAATTCATAAATTTTTATAACCTGTGGTTTTCTCATCCTGTGCAGGTGCTGCTACTACGTCATCTTCCTCCTCATCACCTTCCTCTAGTTCCATTACGGCTGCAGTTATGTTAACTTTAGCAGAACCATCTATGTCAAGTTCATCACAGAATGGAATGTCAGTTGAGTGCAGGTGACAGCAGGACTTGCCAAAGCACTTTGCACTTAATGGCTGCTGAGGGCCACTCTTTTTTTTGTTTGTTTGTTTGTTTTTTTGTTTTTATACTGCACAGTGGCACAAAATTCAGACAAGCACTATTTTGTATTTAAAGTTGTTTCTTGACAAGCTAACTTTGCACTTAAGTGCACTTTTATGAAGAAGAAGTACAACAAACTGCTTTTCCTCAAGCAATAATTGTTTCCAACTTGTCTGGGAATTGTAAGTCTAGTGACTCGAAGGCCTTCCACTGTGGCAAATGGAGGCTGTTCACTGCCTGTAGAGACAGTACAATATGCATATAGTTGTTTGGTTGATCTAAATAAATGTGGTAAGGCTTACTGTATTCCCTGGTATTTTGTTAAAGCTGGAACATTTGATATTTTTCCATTTATTTATGACAAATATTGAACCTATTTTCATTTGTACAAGCTAATTGTTTTTTAACTGCTAAGTCACCTTATAGTGGCTTTAATTGTATACGTCAAGCACATGTATTCAATTCAAAACCTGCAGTTAGTAGGATGTTTGACATCAGTCCTGATAACCAAATACAAGGATTCCTTTAAAAAACAAAAAAAGACTGACTAGTGTTTACAGGTTTGAATTAGGCCTAAATAGGTTACTCTGGGTTTTAAGAACCCGTTAATTGGAATGAAACTACTGTACTTTGCCATTTTTCTATAAAACAGTATTTTTTTTTTAATTTTGATAAAATACATTATGAAAAAGAAAGAAAATGGCTAACAAACTGTATTAAATCTTAATGTATAAAGATTGTATTTAGCCAGTTTAAAGTGTATATTTATTCATATGGATTATAACAGTTATATTTTTGTGTTTTCTTGTAAATGTTTCTTTTCCCTTAAAGCAACAAATATTTCATTTGTAATGCTTATTTTATTACGAGTTTCAAGGAGAGGACTTCAAGATGGAGTAAGGTGTGAGGTTATAATTTGTGGTTGCTGATATGAACACTGCCACAAAAGGGTAGTTGTTTTTAAAATAAATAGCTAGCTGAGTGGTAGACATTTAATTTTTTAAATGCCTTGTACAAATTCCAAAACCAACTTCAAACTGTTTTCACTTGTATTGATTTTATGTTGTATGGATCCCAAGCTCTCTCCGGTTAATTATATACCTTTGTAAGACATTTGTATATTGCGGAAGTGTTCATTCAAGCTATTTAATACCTGGCACTGTTAATACACAGTACTTTATTGTACAGATTGTTTTACTGTTTTAATTGTAGTTCTGTGTACTTCCTTTGCCTGGGGAAATAGGGGCTGGCATGTTTTTCTTTGTTTTCTGGCAATACAACATGTAAGAATTCAAAGCATTTTGTTTGTAGATGCTAGTGTCAGAATCCTTTACATTTGACTTTTCTAAGAAAAGCATTTTCAGTCTTCGTAGTGTGTGCTTAAGGTTAACTGATTTTATTGAAAATGGTTTCAAATTATTCAGAATTGTACAGGACTGTAAAAATTTGTTGACAGACATTGAAGGAAAAGCTTATAGAAAAAAGCTATAAAATATATATTAGGTTCTGCAGAAAATGGAGAATTATGTAATATATTGTACAAATGTAAGCAAAGGCCTCTGAAATAAAATGCCATAGTTTGTGAATCCCTGATTTTGTTTCTAACAGTTTAATTAAGCAACCATAGTGTGGTCATTATAATGACATCAAGCTGCAGAATTAGTTTAGCAAATGATGTTTGATATGGTGTAATAGCTTATAAAGATAACCTAGAGCAAATACATTGGCCTAATGTTCCTCTTAGTGATTAATTCAAATTCATCTTCTTTTTCAGCAGAGTGCGGGAACGTGGCCTGTTGACAGTCAGAGAGGGATCTGGGGGTGCTGGTTGACAGCCGGCTGAACAGGAGCCAGCAGTGTGCCCAGGGAGCCAAGAAGGCCAATGGCATCCTGGCTTGTGTCAGCAATAGTGTGGCCAGCAGGGACAGGGAAGGGATCTTACCCCTGGACTCGGCACTGGTGAGGCCAGACCTAGATTCCTGTGTTCAGTTTTGGGCCCCTCATTACAAAAAGGACATTGAATGACTCGAGCGTGTCCAGAGAAGGGCAACGGAGCTGGTGCAGGGTCTGGAGCACAGGTCGTACGGGGAGCGGCTGAGGGAACTGGGGGTGTTTAGTCTGGAGAAGAGGAGGCTGAGGGGAGACCTCATCGCCCTCTACAGCTACCTGAAAGGAGGGTGCAGAGAGCTGGGGATGAGTCTCTTTAACCAAGTAACAAGCGATAGGACAAGAGGTAATGGCCTCAAATTGCACCAGGGGAGGTTTAGACTGGGTATTAGGAAGCATTTCTTTCCAGAAGGGGTTGTTAGGCGTTGGAATGGGCTGCCCAGGGAGGTGGTGAAGTCCCCATCCCTGGAGGTGTTTTAAGAGTCAGGTTGACATAGCGCTGAGGGATATGGTGTAGTTGGGAACTGTCAGTGTTAGGTTAATGGTTGGACTGGATGATCTTCAAGGTCTTTTCCAACCTAGACAATTCTGTGATTCTGGGACATCATTAAGACAGCACAAGTTGTAAAAAAAAAAAAAAAAGTTCATTTTGGTTCACGTTAATTCAGGTAGTTTGAAAATGTAAAATCAAGCTCCCAAAGATATTTGGCAACTTCTAGTACCACCTGCCTCAAGTTCAGATTCAGTTGAAGTGAAACTGGAATAAAACTTTTAGTGTTACCTGCTTACATCATGGCTGGCTGTACTTTGGTTGACCAAAATACTGTTACATCTGCAAAATGATAGATTACTGATAAGACTGATAAATAACAAATTATAATAAGCTTTGGAAACACTGTGTTAAAAATTACCAGTGATCTGAGACTGACAGGAGTAATTTTAATACTTTCAGTGGGGGCTACTCAGAGGATATTTACATACGTTTTAAGTTTAGCAGAATCAGTCATAATAGTTCAGTTCTGCCTTTCAGGCTCAGTAGGCATAACTGGTATTGATTTAACTGGAAACTACATCTGGGCAAGCAAGAGCAAATTCAGATATCCGCTCACTAGTTCTTGATCCGCTCTCAGTTTTAGGGCCATCATTTTTCTGTGAGAGGATTTTTTTTGTTTACCTGTTTAATGGGGATCATTAATCACTTCCTAACTCCTAAACTGAGCTTTTTGCATAAATAGATTTTCGCTGAGATTATTTTATTTTTGTTGTACTTCATGTACAGTTTAATGAATAGTCAGAAATCTGTTCTGGATGTTTTATATTGTAGATCATCTGTGGTGTATCTATAAATTATACTCTCCAGGTCATGTTACTTGTGTCCCAGTGGTTACAAAGGAAGGTCATTGGCAAACTGTTAGACAAGCAATTTTATCCCATGTTCCAGTGAGTCAAATCTGAGCTTCTTTTCAGGTTATGTATGGTAATGTAGCTTTAAACGTGGGTGTGCTCCCTACTTGGCATGCGCACTGTACAGCTGAGAAAGTGTCCCACTGGCAGTGATTGCTGGGCTGTGCCCATATCCTTGAGTGCCAGCTCAAACCGCGACCTGAAACGCGAAGTGAGACAAACTACTCCTCCTTTATCCTCTGCACCTTGGCTCTGCAACGGAATTGAGTTTTGCATGTCTCATGTTTGATCGTGTTGAGAACAGCTGAGAGAGTAGACTATCTGCATATGCCGAGAGAAAGTGCGCCTTGCTTGCAGGCTGTGTGCGTTGCCCCCAACTCCCTTTATATACAGTCTCCACCAATGCTTATACGGACTTGTTACTGTGTAATTTCTGTCATGCTGTGGAACTTCCCTGTTGCTACAGGGCTCAAACTCCCTGGCAGAGTTCCTGGAGGCTGTATGCCTTTTCAGTTTGTCAGGTGTAATTTTGTTGTATTTTGATGGTTCTGCATGTTCTGCCCCACCTGTGTCACCTAAAAAAACTGCTCTGTTGTGTGAAGGCAGATTGGAAAAGCCAATACAAGTAGTGCAGCAGCCACCTGCCATTTATAAGAATTTGTGTGTTTTCTTGGGCTGACCCCATCAATGAGGGCCCCTAGCTTTCCTGGCCTGCAGAAGGTCAGACACAGGATGTCTGGTGCATGTGTCAAGACTAATGCTTTTACTTTTATTCCATAGCTGGATTACTTGTTTTGCCCTCAGTTGGACATTGGTGCCAACAAAATTGCTAACACTGGCAGTTCAAGAAGTGCATAAAATCTAACAACAGTTGACCTGTTCGTGTTTGCCTCAGCCTTTAAGTGCCTGGTAATTGTCTATGCCTTTCCAGTTATTATCACATCATTTAGCATTTAAAACTACATTCCAGACAGGCAGGTCTTAAAGGGAGATCCCAGTTAGGTGCCTAATTTTGAAGAGTTAATAACAGACCAAACTTCCATATGCACCAGCTGCAATGTGGCCTGGGTTGGAAAACAATCTGTTTGAGAATTAACCTAACAAAAAAGGGTCTTTTCCAGTTAGATCAGTTATCTAGTCCAACCCATGTAGCTGCAGCAGCAAGGTGATCCAGAGCACTTACCTCTCCTGGCTACAGAGCAAAGTTGGGAGGGAAGACATATGGCTGTTTCCTCCTTTTCCTGTCCCCCAGAATACAGTCCTCAAATCGCCCCAGAGGTACCAGGTTTCAGGGATTTTACAGGCTTTATAAGCCTCCTGTGATCCCAGGTACAGATGAAACAATCCAGAAGGAAACTGGATGCTCAGGTGGTGGTTTGGCATGACCTCTCTGGTGGTCTCATAACTTCTTAGGACTTTAACAGTCTTAACTTCTTAACTCTGTGCTCTCTCTGTAACCCAGTTTTGTTTGTAATGCATACCAAGCCTGATTCAGACCAACAAGTCATGGAAACTGTTCAGTTTTGGGTTCTCTTTTACACCTTCCTCCTTTGTGTTTTCTAGTCCTTTTCCAGGTTTGTCTCAAGGTGAGCTGGTTTAAAAGGGGCTGCATGAGCACCAGAAGGATGCTTTCTACCTGTGAAGTCAAGCATGAGGTCACCCACCCTCTGACAATTGCACACCTTGATGAACTGTAGGGTTTAGTTCAGCCTTGCAGCAGCAGCGCTGCTGGAGCGTGAGGCAGCCTGGCACAGATGAACCTTCCTGACTGTTTCTGTTTAATCTGTACTCAAGGACAATGAGCTCGTCTTGCAGACTTTAACTGGGGACTTGGAGGGGTTGGGTTTTGTTAAAAATAAATAAATAAAACGACACAATCCTGGATGGGGGCTGGATAGCAATCACGAAGATAAGAGTCAGAAAAGAAAGGACACGGTAAGAAGTACTGCCACAGCGCAGTCCCACTTTTTGTAGACAACAGCAATGTTATGTTTTAACCACGCGTGGCACTCTGAACCACTTCGGTGTTTTTAAGTAGACACAGCTTGGAGAAGACAGGCAGGGTAATCACAATTTTTGTCTCCTTTCAAGCACAGCCGCCGTGAAGCTGAGGGTCTTGGAAGACAACGAAAACAACGTATCCCTCGAGTGTGCACCAGCCCCAGCGGGTAGTTGGGGTGTTTATAGCGCTGCCATGCCCCCACCGAAGGGGGGCGGCTGTGGCCAGCGCGCCCCTTTCCCGCGCCCTCGCAGGGGACACGCGGGGAGAGCCGCGGCCCCGCCTTTCCCGCTGGGGCCCCGCGCGCCGGAAGTGACGCAGGCCGCGCCCGTTCCGCACAGGGGAGCGGCAGCCATGCGGGCCCG